CTTCATCTATGCATATCTCCTCCAGTCTGCCTCCTGACACACAAAAGTTCCTTCAATTTGCTGGTGAGGAAATCCAGAGCCTGAAAGTTATTTTCTCAGTTCTGACTTTAAGCTTTCTCTCATAGAAGTTCAAAGGTTATAAATTACCAGGATTAGGGGGAGACTTTTATGAGTAGGACTCTAAAAGTGATATAATTATGGTACCCAGAAACTGGGGAGATGTAACAGCAGATTGAAGGAAAGAAATGATGACCTATTAGGAAACTGAAGTAGCAAAATTAATAAGATTGTGCTGTTCAGAGAATACTGTGGATAGAATTTCAGGATATGGGCAAGTCAGGAAAAGGCTGGAGCTGATCTGTGGGAAGAGTTTGTATATTATTACCAAATTCTTATAGGAAATTAAACAGCCATGTTTGTGAGAGTTAAAAGAATATGTCTTGAGTCCTAGGGCCTCTTTGTTTTTCACATACACCTCCTTCTCTCTAAGCCTTTATTTTCCTTTTTTTAAATATTGTAATGATATTAATTTGACCCTCTAATGTGCTGAAATCCATTCTCTCTTCTCAGAAACTCATCGAACTGTGTTAAACCAGATCCTACGTCAGTCCACCACCCATCTTTCAAATGGGCCCTTTGCTGTCCTTGTGGACTACATCCGGGTCCTTGATTTTGATGTAAAGCGCAAGTATGTCCTTGAAAATTGAGTAGCTAGAGTGGAAAATTAGTTTAGAAAGTGAGGAACAGGAATACAGGCCACACATAAAGCAATTTTCACTCATGCCAAAACTAATACTTGGGATAAGCAAGGGATACACTCGGTAGCATAGAGATAAAAAGATATTGCGTATATTTTAGTAACTAAAAATGTCATCCTAAATAGCATATAGGGACTTATTTTATGATCTTTCAAGAATTTTCACAGAGAAAAGGAGTTAGTTATTCAGTAAGAGAAAGATAACTGGTGACCATAAAGAGTAATAGATCTTATTTTAGTGTTTTGGCTGTTCCATGAACTGGCTTGATTTCATTCTCTCAACCTCAGTTTCTTCATTCTTAAAATGAAATTTTTGGACTGGTTAGCTTTTCATAATCAATTTAGAATTCAAGAATTTCAGGGCTAGAAGGGACCTTAAAAAATATTTTAGTAATAACTCACATTTACCCTGACCTAAAGCATGAATCCTTTCTGTCATGATTTTTTTACTCTCATGACTGCAGTTGGCCTCATTTTCTCTCTTGATACACATTTCCTAATGTATCTGTATGATTGGTCATTAGATTTTTTAGGAAGGTACGGAAATGAGTATTGCTATTAGCACCTGTATGCAAAGCATTTTGCAAATATTATTTTATTTGATCTTCACAACAACTTTAGGATATAGGTGCTATTTTATATTATGATAATGAGTCATCAGCAAATCATTATTATCCATTTTACTTTCAAGAAAAAACTTAGAGGTTAGGTAATCTGCCCAGACTCACTCAGATAGGAAGTGGCTGAGGCTGAATGTGAATTCAGATTTTCCTAATTTTTTGCCCAGCATTTTGTGTTTTATACCACCTAGCTTCTTTTTTAATCATGTAGGAGACTCCTGTTTCTTCTACCTCCTCTATTTATTGTCAGGGTCATCCTCTTTAGAAACTGTACTGTTTCCATAAATAGTTTCTGAATACCCATTATTATGCTGATAAAGGCAGTCCTTTTCTCTTTTCTATTTCCCATATCTCAGATATTTCCGCCAAGAGCTACAGCGTCTAGATGAGGGACTCTGGAAAGAAGACATGGCTGTGCATGTCCGTCGTGACCATGTTTTTGAAGACTCCTATCGTGAGCTGCACCGAAAATCACCTGAAGAAATGAAGAATCAATTGTAAGAAAACCATAAAAATTGGCTAGTGTTTCTCATAATAGAAATATAAAGCTTTACTAGAACTAATATCTACCCAGTTATATTTGGAGAACATAAAGAGTTGGAAATAAGTTTTGCCCATTTTAGCTTGTGATTCCCTTAGTGCTTCAAATACTCACATTCCTTAGCTAGCTAAAAGTCAGTTAGAGCTTATTTAGTCAAATTCTCTCTTATTTTACAGAGAGGAAAAACTGACTCCCAAAGAAAAAATTTGGTTAGCGTTTTACAACCATAATATAAATAGGATTGTTTATTCATATGCTATGACTACTGTGTGTGACCATGAGGAAATACTTTAACCTTCAAAAGCCTCAGTTTCCTCATCTTTAAAATGGGCATGTATATCTTAAAAGTCAAAGACCACCCTTTCAGTTTTCTGCAATATAATAATAGATATGGTAGAAAGCACTAAAAAGACCTGGGCTCTGCTACTTAGTAAATTTGTAAACCTCTGAGTCATAGGTGTAAAACTTCATCTGTAAAATGAGGGAATTGAATGATTAATAGTGTTCTTCTTTTAGCAATAAGTCTTATCATCTTATGATTTCTCTAACTTCAGTATCCTTCAGTAGTGCTTATTTTGGGGTCAGTGTACATCTGGTACATCGTATTTTTGTTCCCCATCTCCTTCCAATATTAGATATATAGTATTTGAAGAAGAAGAAGGCCAAGATGCAGGAGGACTGCTTCGGGAATGGTACATGATCATCTCGAGGGAGATGTTTAACCCTATGTATGCCTTGTTTCGGACTTCACCAGGTGACCGTGTCACCTATACCATCAACCCTTCCTCCCATTGTAACCCCAACCACCTTAGTTACTTCAAGTTTGTCGGGCGAATTGTGGCTAAAGCTGTCTATGACAACCGTCTTCTAGAGTGCTACTTCACTAGATCCTTCTATAAACACATCCTAGGCAAATCAGTCAGGTGAGTTTATGTTGTCTACAAATGGTTCTCCCCAAACCCTGACCACCACTACGGCCACCCTACCATTTCCTCTTTTACAGTTAACAGTGAATTGTACTTACCTTCAGGTACACTGATATGGAGAGTGAAGACTACCATTTTTACCAAGGCCTTGTCTACTTACTGGAAAATGATGTCTCTTCACTTGGATATGATCTTACTTTCAGTACTGAGGTAATGCTGGTGGTGGGTCTTTTGAGAGACTAACGGGAAAGAGATAATTCCTTGATATCCATTTAAATTAAGCCCTTTTATTTTTTGGGATATCCTATTTCCTTTTTCCTCAGGCCTTTGTTCTCCATCACGCAAAGCAATGAAATTTTTAAGGCAGTCTTCCTGATTTCATGTTTTCTCTGAGACCCCAAGGGCCTGAGAGATAGAGATTTAATTTCTGCTTTTTCTTATAAGATGAAGAGGAGGTTTTGAAGTGTCTTTACCCAGCTTGGAGTTGAGAATCTTTGAAAGCATAATGATGAGAAAGCTACTAGCTTCATTTGGTAAAACTGAATTGTTTTAATTCCTTTGGTGGCGTGGTTGCTTATTTTCAGGTTCAAGAGTTTGGAGTCTGTGAGGTTCGGGACCTCAAGCCAAATGGAGCTAATATTCTGGTAACTGAGGAGAACAAAAAGGAATATGTACATTTGGTTTGCCAGATGAGAATGACAGGTATGTGGAGTCTAAATTGTGATATAATTAGAGGCAGCTAAGGGTCTCATTGATTCAAATATAGTCTCAGACAGCAGCTATAAAATTGGGATAATAATTGCATCTTCATCTTTGGGTTATTGTGAGGATAAAAGGAAAATAGTGGAATGGAAAAATGGAAAAGCAATTAGCGCAATGTGTTAAAGCACTATATAAAAAATAGCTATTAGCTTTCATTCTAGTCTGAAACAAGAAAGGCTGATTGTTTTAGACCACAGCTTAGGGGTGGTAGAAGAAAAGGCATTCTTTCTTTTGTCTATCTTGCATGTCTCAATTGGATTGTAAACTCTTCAGGCAAGTTTTTTATTCTTTCTTGTAGGTCTCATCCTCTTTGAAATGAAGTTTAAGTGAGCATTCTCATAGTTTCTTTCTAAGAAAATTGTAGTACAACAAAAATCCCTTCAGATGACATTCCATTGCAAATAAATGTAAATGTAAACTAAACAAAGAAAATTAATAATTTTAGGGTATTAGTAACTATCTGTGAATTAATTTTGGAAGAAATTGTAAGAAGAGGGATAATAAAGCAACCCAAACAACAAGTGTCATATATTAAAAGTAGCAAGAGGTGAAAAGGGTACTGGTTTGCTTGAGTACATAAGTAATAACTTCTTTCCTGCAGGAGCAATTCGGAAACAGCTGGCTGCCTTTCTAGAAGGTTTTTATGAAATCATCCCCAAACGCCTTATATCCATCTTTACGGAGCAGGAGCTAGAACTTCTAATCTCAGGACTTCCCACAATAGACATTGATGACCTAAAATCAAACACTGAGTATCACAAGTACCAGTCTAATTCCATCCAAGTAAGACTTTCTTATGTTAATTCATATTCTCCACTTGTGTGCCATTTTAGGCCTTAGAGAAGTGCTGTAAAGTCAGAATATCAGAGCTAGAGAGGACCTTAGTGATCCAACTCACTGTTTTACTGAGTGGGAATTAAAGAACGGTTTGGGATGAAAAGGAGGGAATAAACACTTATTTGAGAGGGGATAAGGACTTAAGAGCATCAGTTGTGTGAGACAGAAGGTACTTCTTCTTACACTCACCACTGTCTTCCCATTGGCCTGCCCACCCACATCCTTTAACACTTGGGCTTAAATGCTTTTTTTCTCATAGATTCAGTGGTTGTGGAGAGCTCTTCGCTCTTTTGATCAGGCAGACCGAGCCAAATTCCTCCAGTTTGTTACAGGTACTTCCAAGGTACCTCTTCAGGGCTTTGCAGCACTTGAAGGAATGAATGGTATTCAGAAGTTCCAGATTCACCGTGATGACAGATCCACAGACCGCTTACCTTCAGCTCATACTTGGTAAGAATAAGAAACCCAAGGTAGATGGATGAAAGAGAAAAGGGAGAAGAGAGGATAGTTCTGTTCAGCCACTCAAAATTCTAAGATTCTCTCTTTTCTTTATTTGTGTTCCCATCTCTTTTCCTAGTTTTAATCAGCTGGACCTACCTGCTTACGAGAGCTATGAGAAGTTACGCCACATGCTGCTGTTGGCTATACAGGAGTGCTCAGAGGGCTTCGGACTAGCATAATCCTAAGGGCTATGCAGCACCACTCCCCACTGTTGTTATATTTTCTACTCTCAGACTTGGGGAAGGAAAGAAGAAAAAGGGAAAGTTTTACCCAAAAAAAAACCTTATCCTAGAACACAAAAAACCACAGAAGAAAGCGTAACCAATAAATAAATTAAACCAAGCTATCTTTGTGTGTGTACCACTTGCTCCTTTCAACTCTCTCCCTTCCCGTATGTGCCAACCCCCTAAACCCAGTTTTGAGAAAGGGAAATCGTTATCAGAAAGATCTGAGACACCTTTTAGACAA